GAATTGAATTAGGAATTAAATTAGGAATTAAATTACGAATTAACTTACGAATTAAATTACGAATTAAATTACGAATTAAATTACGAATTAAATTACGAATTAAATTACGAATTGAATTAAATTACGAATTAAATTACGAATTAAATTACGGATCAAATTACGAATTAAATTACGATTTAAATTACGGATCAAATTACGGATTAAATTACGATTTAAATTACACGAATTAAATTATACAAATAAATTACACGAATTCAATTACAAATTAAGATTGCGAATTAAATTGATACATATTATAATGTATCTGAGTACATATAAACTATCTGGTATCTATAAATCAATTCTAAACTGGCAAGTGTCTAATAACATTTCGATGTCAAACCACCGCCGGTTAACATTCAAGATAAACTTGATGTTGCCGACCTCCACACTATCTCGGAACCCTAGCAAGACGGACAGGGCAACCTATGCCCACCTTCTCCAAGAGGCTCTGAGAGAGATGGAGGCCGAAACACCAAACAATAATACTGCTTTGGAAAAGTACACGAACACTTTGGATAGTGTGCACAATAAACAATGCCTATAAGAAATCCTGTCCTCTGAGGCTGGTCCAACACGATCAGACGACTACCCCATGGTGGTGTCACGAGTTGGATCACCTCAGGAAGATGGCTAGGAAATCTTTTAATAAGGCAAGAACCACAAAACTCAAAGAGAACTGGGATACTTACAAATCTCACCTCAAAGAATACAAAAAAATCGTCAGACAAAAACAGAGAGATGCATGGAGATCTTACTGCGAAGAAATCGAAGATTTCTCGCAGGCAGCGAGGCTTCAAAAAGCTCTCTCAAAAGATGCACACCAAAGCATTGGTGCGCTAATCAAAGAGGATGGCACGAAAACTGCCAACCTCGAAGATAGCATCAAACTTCTGCTGTCAACACACTTCCCTGACTCGGTCATCAGAGACGTGGCGGACTGGGCAGAGGAAGAATAAAATCCATCTGTCTATGATTGGCAAACTGCCAAACACATTGTAGACGATGAAAAAATTAGATGGGCAATCTCCAGCTTCTCTCCATTTAAATCGCCAGGACCTAACGGTATCTATCCAGTCCTACTTCAGTGGGGTTTGGAAGAATTCACATCGTACCTGGTGGGTATATTCAGGTCCTCGTTGGTTCTCTCCAAAAATGGAGAGAAGTAAAAGCGGTATTTATACCCAAACCTGGAAGGATGGATTACACTATCCCAAAAACATACCGACCAATTAGTCTAACATCGTTTTCCATGAAGACATTGGAAAGACTATGCGAAAGGTACATAAGGGATGCGGTGATTACAATAACACCACTACACCCAAACCAACATGCATACAGCCCAGACAGATCTACTGATTCAGCCCTTCATCTAGTTGCTGGGCGGATAGAAAGATCCCTGGACAATAATAAGTCCGCCTTGGGTGTTTTCATAGACATAGAAGGTGCTTTTGATAAAACCACCTTCCCAAAGATAATACGTTCACTAACCAACAGGAATATTCCACAAATGGTTAGTGGGTGGATACATAACATGCTATCAAAGCGAGCAGTAAATATAAGTGTAGAAGATGTGAATATAAGAGACTTGGTTGCGAGGGGATGTCCACAGGGAGGGGTGCTATCACCTCTACTGTGGAATATGGTTCTCGACACCCTCATCAGCCGCCTCAATAATGACAGTCACTACACAATAGCATATGCAGATGAACTGGTCATTTTGCAAACAGAGAATTTTGAGAACATAATGTGCGAAAGAATGCATGTAGCTCTAAAAATTATAGAACAGTGGTGCAAGGACCATTCACTGTCTATCAATCCTAAGAAGACAGAAATGGTCCTTTTCACAAGGAAAATGATGAAAATAGAATTAAAACCTCCAGAACTCCTAAACACAAAACTAAACTTTGCAACAGAGGTGAAGTAATTAGGTCTCACCTTTGACAGCAAGTTAACATGGAACTCGCATTTAGAAAACAGAGTTAAAAGAGCATACATTGCTCATGAACAATGCCGCCGAACCGTGGGGCGCTCCTCGGGTTTCTCCCCCAGAGTCGTCGCATGGACTTACACGGCTATCATAAGACCTATGCTAACATGCGGTACAGTTGTCTGGGTACCGAAAACCCAAAAATTAACAGCTATCCGTAAACTAGAACAAATTCAAAGAACAGCATGTTTCAACATAACAGGAGCCATGAAAACAACACCGATTAGAGCCATGGAAGTCATTCTTAGTCTCACTCCCCTTGATATTTAGATCAAGGAGATTACTCTGACGACAATGACACGTCTCCGCACGGTCTAATCTGATGTAGTTTGGCAGGAAGCGCTCGATACGCTCCCGCTTCAAGCGAACATGGACTCCATCTCACCGAAATATATCTTTCATAAGCCATATAAAGTTATAATAGAACAAATAGAAGAGCCGGAAGTGGCAGGTACGATTCATATCCACACCGACGGTTCTAAAACAAAACAAGGCTCAGGATGTGGAATATACTCCAGATTCTTAAACCTAAACATAAAATGGGCTGTGAGCAATAGTGCCAGTGTAGTAATAGAACTAACAGGGATTCTCATAGCAGCAAAAGAAATAACCAGAAAGAATATCACTGGAAGGAACATGCTCATCTATACAGATAGCAGACAAGCACTACTCACCCTGAATAGACCACGAATTTATTCAGGGTTAGTACTAGAATTTCACGAAGCTTTGGCCGAAGTATCCATCAACAATGTGGTCACCTTCAGATGGATTAAAGGTCACGCTACATCGAAAGGTAACCGTCTTGCTGATTCACTAGCCAAGAAAGCAGCCAACCAAATACTTTTTGGACCTGGCCCTTCTATTGGCCTGACAAAATCGATAGTGACAGACCTAATCAAAGAATATTCCCTTGTGAAATTCAAGGAAAGATGGGATGAAACAAGGAACTGCAAAGTTTCCAGGGAGCTCTTAAGTTATCCTGACAACACTGCAGCAAACAAATACTTGACTATGACTAGACAGAATCTGCGCCTAGTCACAGGCATTGTGACTGGTCATTGCCAAGTACGAAAGCATCTCCATATCATGGGACTGTCAGAATCCGCCCTCTGCAGAGGGTGCGAACAAGAAGATGAGACCATCGAACATATCCTTTACGATTGCTCGACGCTCTCATTTATCAGAAGATTTGTGTTTGGCGAGTATCGGCTAACACCGGCCGATATAAGAGTAGCACTTCTTGGCGACGTTGTCAACTACATCTCAGGAGGATGCACAATGGGCCTAGGCCTAATGAGGCCTAAGTGTCGTCAGGTAACCCACCCTCCACACGTTACAGATACAGAGATACAAAACTATCTGAATATTACCCAACATTAGTATAGATGACCTGGCCTAATCTCCCCCCTCCTTCGCGAAAGGATATGACTACCACTTTATCGTACATCATGTAGTTTCTGCCACATGTCTCTAGTCGTATCATAATTCAATTCATTGGTACTCGATTCATATTTCAGTTACACTACCAACAACAAATTTAAAATCTTGATTCTGATGCGTTGGAGGAAATGGTACTCAAATTAAGAGAAACCTCGCTCTGTACCATATTGACGAATACAGATATAAATATGAAAATACTGTTATCCGAGCCATTTTCGACCAGCCTGACCATGCTCCAATCCCTTAAGACCCCCTCTGTCGGCCACCACTTGTCCGACTACCAAAAATTATCAATTAAATAAATCAACCCACCCCCCGCAACCTAACTTATTGTTCCGACTATGGAAAATGTGACGACTCTGGACAACGCCGATCAATAGTCTAGAACACAGTTTGTTCGATGACACTAAATTGCACCTTTTGGCGAAGATCCCATAATTAAATATATCTATTCGTGGAATTTGGTGGAAACATCGAGAACCTTCGCCATTTTATATAAATGATAAGTTTTAATGTAAATAAAAAAAATTTATAATTTAAACACATGCACTACATGTTTCGGAAAATATTTCCTCTTCTAGTGCAGTCAAAATTTAATAAAACATGGGGGACGATTACAAACAGTTTAAAATTAAAAAGGAACAGAAACTCCATATTTCTGTTCCACAGCGTGTGAAGGTGTATTCGAATACATACCGTTATAAATAAATTGTTGAATATAAGTACACAAATAAATTAAATAAATAAACTGTTAAAAAAATAAATAAAGGTTACAATACTTAATTTGGAAATTCATATTTAGACATTAAAAATAAACAATCAACTTTTAAAACATCCTGTATAAAAGAAAGACATTAATAAACACTTTCCTAGGAATCAAACATTTAAAAAATAATTTTTACGGGCTTTCCAATGATGCTTCGCAAGTGGGGGTTATTTATAAAAGGTTTTTTGTAGGGGTAACTAGGGCTTAAAAAGGTTACGCGGATTGGTATCAACGTGATTTAGGTTCCCCTTCATACTACTGACACAGTTTGGAATAATTTTCGATACGATTTTCGTTTTTAGGATTATAAGTTTCTAAATTTTATTACATTACCCCATACACATAAATCAATACCTCTTCATAAAGATAAAAATACATTAGTGTTCACAACTCGAAGATTTAAAAAAATAAGCCATTCACAATATGCAGTCAGGTGTTCAAATGGGTGAAATTAACATGACCCCAAAACAAGCCCGCCGTTTTATATTTGGCGGGAAACGATAATATGAATGCAGATACTCCGTTTGGCCCTTTGATTGCTTGTTGTTTTAACTAATTATTCATTAATTTTTTCACCAAGTTCTGATTGCTTAGATTTGAAAAATAAACAATGACATAATACCGTTTGAGAATAATTAAGAAATGAGTTCTAAAAGTTTGGCGCATTTCGTAGAAGCGATACCATTGGTAGGTAAGTGGTGGGAACTGCTCCTCCGATTGCCTCTGAACTACAGAATGGTTCTTGAGGCAGCATTCGCGGTGAACAAGCGACCCAACTCGGTATTTAGTGCCGTTACAAAAATGTTAGTCGATTTGTGTAGTGCAGAGTGCGTAAAATTTAGTGAGTGTTCCCGAATACACTGATCACCCAAAACGTACCTGCTCTTGCACAAAAGCCGGCATCATTTGTTTTGTTTGGATGATACGGAATTCCAAATTTGTAAGGTATGTGAGTTTTGATTTTGTGACCTTAAGCCACGTAGAAAACGTCTACCTGATACAGGCAGACTCTTTGAAAGAATCTTGGGTCGTATAATGTTTTTTACCTGGTTTTCAATTGCTACATACTCTAAGGTTATTGGTATTTTGATTCTTGATGCACTTTTATACCTATACATTAATAAAAATTCTTGGATCCTTCAATGAAAACAGTTATGTACCTATATCGTACGCTTACAGAAGCCCAAAACTAGTTTTTTAATTAATTCTTAAATAATAAATAGGAAATAGTAACATTTCATCATAAAGACTCAAGGATTCCACATGCTTTTAAGATACTTAATTAACTATTAATAGTTAAGGATAACCTGTAGTAGATGTCTATGCCTTGGAGTATTTTTTATTATTTTATGAGATGAGTGCGTGGGTTTGCCATTCAAAATTCGTCGTCCTTCATCAGGGATTATCATATTTATCACAGAGACGTTACTTATTTAACAAAACCTGAGGATGTAATAAATTTGAAGATTAATTATAATAATATTGTGTTTAATGGTAATGTTTAAGATTTAATTAAAATCATAACATTTAATAATTAAAAGGAAATTTAAATAAAAACCAAACTGATTATTTTTGGTAAATAAGTACATACATAACTACTCTTTTTATTTAAGAATTAATTTAGAAAAATGAAATTTTTGAAAATGTGAAAATGTTTCCTACGAAAAATATAATTAAATTAACTACCCGTAAAAAGAAAAATTTTCTACGATTAGAATAATTACAATATTAATTACGTTTTAACACAAATGTGTTTTTGTTAATTTTATTGATGAATTCTATCACCAGTAAAATATTGAACTCTATCCAATGCCAGTAATGTTTTTAATGTATTTATTCTTTCTGATCACCTATCCAGTTGTTGACGATCACTAACACAATTTCTCGGCCATCTACCAGTGTTGTTTATCAATAAGGTCCATATTTGTATGTTTTATAATAAACAACAAATTAAATATTTATTAAGAATTGAAAAAAGCACTAAAAAATTACAGATCAAAATATCAAAAAACTAGAGGAACTTTGTTCTTAGGTAGGTACAGGTAGGTAACATAAAAAAATTCAATTTCATTTTCGTGATTCATGATCATGATCACAATAATCTGTACTTGCTGCTTCCAAATAAGGTATACAGTATGTTCGCTATACTTACGCGGGTTTCGGATTAAAAATTTTATGAGTATTTCCTGGTAAGTACCCGAAAGTTTGACCTGTCCTTTGGGGAAATATCAACTGGTTAAATGAAATGAAAAATAATCTACAACTTTTTAATTAAATAATAATGGAGAATCTTGTGTATAATTGAGAGCAGAATTAAACTTCTTCATTAATGGAGTCTAATGTGGCTATTATAAACCTAATAATAATTTTATATTACACTTCACACAGAAAATATGGTCTATGTATAATAAGAGGGTTATTTAGCTCAAATAAAATATTTTCTAACATAAAAATTTGTTCCATGTGGAGAATTTCAAATGAAAAATAAAAAAATTGAACTTGCCAACAAAAATCAGTCATCATCATCATCACTGTCATCGCCATTATTGTTATTATGATTGGACTTATTTCGTTTATTTTGTTTTCACTAGTACACCAATCTTCTATTAGTTTCTCGAACTTGGATATACAGTTCCGCCACACTTCTGGAGTCGCAATTGAAAGTGCTTTTCGCCAAGTTTCCCGAATTGCGTCGTCACTATAACCATTAGGCCCAATATGGTTGTCATAATATTGTTTTGCTATTCCCCATATTTATTCGATGGGATTAAACTGGCAATGATACGGTGGCAGACGTAAAACTTGATGACCGTAACTTTCAATAATCTGATCCACAACAAAGGTTTTTGGTTTTGCGTGTATATTTGCCAAGTGTAATAATTCTGATTTTAATATATGTTCCTTTGTCAACCATTCTTTAATTTTATCAACAGTCCAAGAATTCGTTGGACTTTTGTTTAATATTTCAGAATGGTAAGGTGCATTGTCTAAAATAATTACGCTGGGCTCACTTAAACCTGGGAGAAGTTTTTCATGCAACCATTTTACAAACATTTCTGTGTTCATATTATCGTGATAGTCACTGGATTTTGATTTAGATGAAAATATTATATCAGCACCTTCTATAAAACCCGATTTCCCTCCTGCATGTAAAAATAAGTTTCGCTTCCCTTCTCCATCGGTATGTTTGATGGACTTTACGTTATCATCTTGCCATATTCTCTTGGTTGCACCCCTAGAAAATATCCATGTTTCGTCTACATATATAAAATTCTCCCCTTCTTCTTTAAATTTAGAATATTTTCTTAGAAAGTTAATTCTCTTGTGCACGACAGAACTTCTTTCTGTTATCCTCCTTTTGAAATTTGAAACCCAAGTTATGTATCACTTGCCATATACTTGTTCTGCCAATGTCGTCAAATTTTCTATCTATTAATTCCGAGAGAATTGTATTTAAGGTTACATGTTCCTTGTTGACCCTCATTCGATAAATGGTATCACGAATTTCAAATTTCTTTCCATCTGGAATATCTTTCGTTTTCAATGATGGGCGAGTTTTGCGGTAATCTTCTTTCGGCAGTTCACTATTGTGATTTTGTAATACTCCTCTTAATTTGGTTTCACTAATTCCTAGAGCATCGCATACGTGTTGTTGTACAGACATTACCGATTTTAAAGGACCGCCACTTTCTTTTTCATCCGTAAAATACTTATGTACACTACAAATTAGACTATCTACATCTAACACACGTCTAGGCATTTTTAAAATTTCCACTAAATTTACAATATACATATAATGCCAACACTTGCAAATAATCAATTCAACTGCAATATTTGTAACAAATTTAGTACCTACCCTAATGTTATTTTAATTTAAATCTGACCATTAGGGCAATTTTACCTAATTTCTTGGGAAGAGGCTTATTGGAACTGGTTGTCAATGACTAATTTGCATAATTTTGTTAATCCGAAACCCGCGTAAGTATAGCAAACAGACTGTACCTAGAAAGTTGGTACACTTCAGGTGTATCATCCAATATTTATTTGTCTGTTGTATTGCTTATCAGCTCATCGTTATAAGATGAACTGAAAAAGGAGTATGAGCGGGAGTTTACGTATCAATAAACCTGGGCTCTCTAGCCACAATCTTCCAAGCAGAAATGATTGCTAACAATAAACGAGACTATCAAAATATTTTCGGATAAACAGGCATCTCTCAAGACCCTGAGCTACGGTTGAGTTAACTCAAAGCTGGTTTGGGACCATATAAATACCCTTGAACATCTCGGTGCCTGGAACAAAGTTACTTTGATCTGGGTACACAGCGCTGTAGAGGGCAATAAAACAGCCAAGAAGTTCGCAAAAAAGAGGATCTGAATCTGAATTCCTAGGACCCGAAGCATTCTTGAGCATTGCAAAGAGTTCTGTCAACGCAATTATCTCAAAATGACAAAGGTATAACACTTAAGAACTGGAGGGCTAACTAATTATCTGCTCAGAACCGGGAATGGAGTAGGAAAAATCTATGCATTATGACGGGACTGATAATAGAACATTGCCGTCTAGGTAAACACAAGAATGATAGATTTGCGACAAACATCAGGCTGTCGATTCTGCATCTTAGATGACATTCTATGTACCTGCTCCGCTTTGGAGAGATTTTCGGATTCGCCTAATTCAACTATGGTCTTTATCAAATGGTATGGCTTGTACAGTGAACTATAAGTTAGATGAGCCATCATAGATCCATCTAGGTCGCAGTGGAAGGCGATGAGATCAGCAAACTCATTTTCATCCTAACCTAACCGGGTCCGTATTTAAAATAATAGACCCGACCTGAAGGTGGTTCTACAAAATAAAGCGTGGCGTTACCAATTTGTATAGATAAACAAACAAAAATTACTTAAATTTTTCGATAATGTTGATAAATAAAAACGATAAGCCAATAATTGAGTTTTCCTAAATAACTCGATATGTGGTACCTTCTCATATGTTGTCCCTCCAGATAGGCAACTTTTATCCTATGCATTTAATAACTTCTCTGATATAACAACATAACAAAATTAAAGTAACTAGTAATAACTTGTGTTCTATCGACATGTTCTAAAATTTCATTTGGCCTCCTGAGTTAACCACTACGTAGTCACTGGTATCCGGCAATAATAAAAAATTGTGTTTAATCATTGGGGTCGTAGAAAAAGTATAGTGTGCTACTAGTTCAGGAAACATATTTCACACTCGTGTGATAGTGTATCCCGCATTCTCTCATGACACAACTTTCACAAATCGTAGAATAAGTTACTTTTGCACTTGCGCAATAGGTATACGATTTTTAATTTGATTAAACGCATATACCCATATATCAAATAAAAATTATATAGTTGGAGCCAAACGTAAAATATAACCTACTTATCTTAAATTTCAAATAATGGACTAAAGTCATGAATTCGATTTAGAATTATTTTCTTAATTTTGAACTCGTATACCTAATAATTCTTAATTTTTAAAACTTTCATCATTGATTATCTATTTTTGAGCTATATTACTCTAGAAAACTACAAATAAATTATTCCAAGGTTTGGAAACATTTTATGTAACGTTTTGAGACTTTATTAAGAAATTCAAATTCTAACTTATTGAGTTTCCACCAAAAAGCACTCTCGAAAAACACCTGCACTTTATAGGAAACCGACATTAAAAAATGTTTAAGTTAGGTTATGAATACAAACAATGATGGTCGAAGTGTTTAAAGTAATGTCAACGTAATTCCTAGTACTGCCAATGTAATTCCAGGTAATACCAGTAATGCAGTCATAATGCCACGTAATTCCAAGTAATACTATATAAAACGTACATGTATTGCTAAAAGTGAAAGGTCCCTTGTATTTTACCCTCTTGCAAATATTAAATCAGAATTATTCCATCTTTGTCCCCTCGTATATGTT